TATATATATATATATATATATATATATATATATATACACATACATTTATTTCTAATAACTATTACTAGTAATATTTATTTATTACAGGGAATTTCATCCTTTTTAAATAATCAGTGCTGTTTAAAATGTTAGGTTTTCAATAGAATGAAAACACTCTCAAAAGAATAATTACGTTTTCAATAGATGATCATGTTGGAAAAAAAAAATATTTTTAAAATAATTTGAATATATTTTCATGGGAAATTCAATGCTATCTGTCAGTAGACATTATGCTAAAACATGCATTTGTTAGAATAGCTATTGTTCATAAAATTAGCTGACTCTTCATCATTTTCAGCTTAAGTGAGGAAAAGTCATAGTTAAATGTCTAAAGAGCCACTCTAGCCGTCTGCAGTTATAGGCTGCAGACCCCTGATCCAAATCATCCATCCATTGATCTACATTTTAATGTATTTATCATCTATCCCTCCATTTGTTTTCTTGAGCCCCTTTCCCACTGAAAATGCTTCGTTAATGCGTGTTTTTCAAACATTGGTTGATCCGCTACCAATCAGCATTTGGCTCCCTTGCCATTGGGGAAAATAGTCGGATCTAACCCCTTGCCAGCAGCCGTGTGGTCTCTGTACACCTGACGCTGGATGTTTGGTGACATCAAACTGGGTTGGTGTTGATGCTATCCCCAGTGTGACAGAAATCAGGAAAATGAAACGGAGAGCAACATGTAAGGAAGCCAGGGTGTAGTCGGTGTGCTTTACTCTTATCTGTCTGAATCCTTCTCACCAGCGCTGTGTTTACATGTTTAGCAAATGTAAACAGAGTTGTTTAGCCTTGATCAGATCAGACATGTCTGGCGTTGCGTTCAATAGTGTCACGTAAATTACCGGTAGCAGGTCTGGTGTTTCCACAGCATGCCTATCAAAGCCGAGGCGGTTTTAACATGGATCGCTTGGCGAGTCGTTTGATCTAGGTGGACATGCATCAGCGAGTTGTCTCCACTGCCACTAAAAGCTGATTGTTCCCGGGTTTAAAGAGTTTTTTTCTGCCAGTGGGAAAGGCTGATTATCCTGTTTTTTGCAGTTTTCTTAAAAATGACCCGACAGTTGTAGATTATTACGGCAAATTCATTTTGGTGTTGCTAGTCTAAAAGTAAGTGACACTGTGTTGCTGGAAAGGATTTATTGTCCAGCAGAAGAATTAGCTAGATTCATGCATGTAATGAAGCTTCAAGAGGAAACAAGGATTAACTGCAGATTTCAGTTTGTTTCTGTTATTTTTGTGGATTCCAGCAATCAGACGGCATGGAGAAAAGCCAACCTGGCCTGTAAACTAGCCATAGATAAGACGGAAAAAGACGAGCTTCTGCACGGAGGAGACAGCCCAAGCACCAGGCAGAGGTCAGTAAAGTCCTACCGAGGCTTCCTTGGCCCCAAAACGGGTCCCTGAGAGTTTTGTCATTGTTGATATAACCTCTTTTTAAAAAATTTATAAAAGATATCACAGCTCATGCTAGGTGCTTGTTTCCTTCCATAAACTGGTGAAATTCCTGCTTTTATAGACATGTTTGATTTGCAGAATCTGGCAGCTGCTTTTTCTCTACTTTGACTTTTTCTTTTTTAAACCTAACGTGGGGATGGGGAATATTTTATGCAATTTTTTTTGTTATGAGGTTAGACTTGCATCATTTTCAAATCTAGTAGGTCTTTATTAAGTGCTTGTATGTAAAGTCACAAGCTTTTACAGACCAACGCATTTTGAAAAACCCTCTCAGTCTGAGTTCTTATTTTAGTAGCACCTTTAGCTGCCCTCCCCTTTGCCTTTCTTATGTAGTGTGTTTAAGATGGTCCAAAATACCTTTTCTCCTTTACAAAAAGAACAAAACCAGCTGAAACTCAGTAAGATTGCATTATGACGCTAGGTGCATGTTTAGGGTTGTTTTGTGTTTTTTATTAATTAATTTGTTTTTATTCCTGCTTTCGATAGCTTTTCTACATCTCACCTGTAGATAAAATGATAAAGTTTTCTTTAAACAGGGAAATTGTTTCATCTTTAGCTGTGCCCTGTGTATGTGTGCTCACCACAGGAAGGTGACCAAAGAAACGTTAGTGGAAAGCAGCAGCAGCATCACAGAAAGTCTGATGTCCATCAGCCGGATGATGTCAGAGCAGGTGAAGCAGAGTGAGGACACCATCGGCAGTCTTGGTAAAGAAACATTCAAAATGTCTTCCATCTTTTTATATCTTTTTCTGCTGTTTGGTTTCCTACCCATGATACCTCTCTTCTCTCATCCCCATGGCAGCTACCTCCTCTAGAACAGTGCAGGAAACCAACGAGGAGTTCAGAAACATGACGGGAACCATCCACCTGGGGAGGAAACTGATTTTAAAGTACAACCGCAGGGAGCTCACAGACAAGCTGCTCATCTTCTTGGCTTTAGCGCTTTTCTTTGCCACTGTGCTCTACATCCTGAAGAAGCGCCTCCTCCCCTTCATTTAATGAGCCGCCTGGGTCTGCATCTGCTTTATAAGGCGTCCTCAGGAGTTTTGAGATGAAGAGGAGTAGAACAATCAACCACATGGGGCAGGAGCAGCATTAAGAATGCGTGGCTACAGAAGGCAAACGAAAGATGGATTGGTTTAGAAAATGAGCGTTTTCTGCCTGATTGTTCTTAAAACAACATTTTGACATGTTCTAACACCTGCTGCTCCGTATGATGTGCCTAGCTTCCTTTCTTCCTAAACAAGGATGCTGTTTTTAAAAATCTCTTAATGACCTTGGTGTCATGTCAGCCACTGTTCGGTATGATATCACTTTCAGAAATCTGGTGAAAGGATCTTTAGAAACTCGTTGAGGTTTACCATCATGTGAAGATTTGAATATTACATGTAAACATTTTTGCACAGATGTGTTTTCTTACAGCTGTGAAACGAACCTTTGAGATGCACATTTTTGTGAGTTTTGCACATGTAGGTGGAATTATATTGGCACCATCTTTCAGAAAACACAAAAAATGTGCCAGATTGAACCTCATATATTGTACTTAACCTTGAAACATCCGGACTTCCCTGCTTTTCAACATCTATAAAGGGTATCGACACACAACGTAGGATGAAGGGCTTGTTATTTGAACAAAATAATCTATAAAATATTTCTCAGGGCATTGTTATTGATATCAGAGTTAGAGATGTCCCCATATAGCTTTTTTTTTGGGATATAAGGGCGATATCGCGGCTTTGGCTGTGAGATGCAATTGCAGAATTCATACAATTACTGCTTAAGTTTTTAAAATAATTTTAGGAAATGATCAAGTGATATTACTCAGAGAATAATAGTCAACAACAATGGGTAATAGAATGACACACCCATTCATTATTAACTATTGGGTTACATAAACCAAGTGTTTTTTTTTTATTGGAGATTTAAGTTGCAGGGTGTTTATAAGGGCAGCGCCTTTTATGGCAGCAAGGCCTCGCACACCGCGTCCCCCCATGTCTTGGACGGGCTGTACCGAAACTGAATTTCCCTTCAGGGATTAATAAAGTACAATTAAATTGAACTGTGTCTTGGAAAGGTTACAGATTCCCTGGTTTGATTCCAACCTGCAGAGACTGAGCAAAACTCTTCGTCTCAGAATGCTAAAGGTGCATTTGAAAGACAGGCATCCTAAAATAACTCCACAGCAACAGCACCACACTTGCAGCAATGCTGTTGGTTGACTTAATGTGCTTAGTGTTGGATGTCTAAGGAAATTCGAATTAGTTTAATAAAATCTTCGTAACATGGAAGATTTTTAAGAAGTAATGTGGAAATAGGTCAAAAAGGAGAGCATATTGGGAAATATGTATTTAAAAAAGTCTTAGAAAACCAGGAAAAAGCTGAAATGGATTCTATTTTCCGTTATAGGACTCCTTTCTGCTTTACATTCCAGCCCCTACTGCAGTTTATCAGTTTGATCCGTCTCTGAAACTGTATGATTTATAGATTAAATTTATTCTTTTTTTTTTAACCCATAGTTTGCCCTGTGAATTTTTGGGCTATTCATACCCCTGACTTTCATTATGCTTCAGTAGCTTAATTATCAGTTCCCTCAAACATTTTCTTTAATATTAGATGGCAGTAGGGCTGTGTGATAGGTCTAAAAACATAAATATAGGCCTTGCATATCAGTCTTTCAATAATTATTGATTAGTATTTTGCTTTAACTATTCGCAATAGACCAGGAGGTGAAAAGGACGCTTTCATTCTGTAATCCTTTTTTTATTTAAAGTAACTTTTAAAAAGAGGTCAGCCTTAACACCAACCTGTTTAAGCTGGGAACTTAAAGGTTTAATCCTTCCTTCTTCTGCTGTGCAGTTCTGAACCACATTTTAATGAAATTATAAACCATTAATTTGGACCTGTGTTCTATCGACATTGATCAGCAGTCTGTTGTAACATATACTGCTTTTGTTTTATATATCCCATCCCTAGGTGATGGTAGGAATCATTTTGAGTTAATAAACCATCCATGCATTTAGGTGAAAGTCTGTTCATATTTATTTATATTTATACAGATTAGTCAAAGCAAATACTGTGGCATTCTTCAAGACTGGAACTGTTGGCATTATACAGAAAACTGCACCATGAGCTGAAAGCTAATGACGATTTCAGAGCATTTGGAGAAAATGTTGACTGAAAAATGACCTGCTGGCACTGCAAGAAAACGCTTAGAGAATTAATCACATTTAATGAGGTCTGCCTGATATGTTTGGAAAATTGTTTCTATTAAAATGATTTTTAAAATGCTGTGTTTGTTTTTCATTTAAAAATGAATCCAAAAACAAGATTTCACAAGATGCATATTTTTTTATATTATATATTTATCGTGTATCCATTCTGATCGGATTCCCCAGTCAGATGTCTTTTAGGTGTTCTTTTCTAAGATAAGTGTTGAAATAGGTAAAATATTCCCCAACAGACAGAAAAATATACACAAATGCAAGTATTTGCATCTACATGTATTTAAAGCACCTGTTTTATGAAGCTATTGCGGAAAAGAAGCAAATGTTGCAAAAACTAAGGAAAAAATAAAAAAAACTTAGATGCATGTAGGTA